GGCACCTCTGGATCAGCACTGCTTGAGGTGGGGGCGAGGAGCAGCGTGAAGCACGGTTTGATATCCCCCAACAGCCCCTTCCACGCTGCTCCAAACTCCACAGCCCAGGTTGGATCGCACACCTCAGACACATTCATTTTTTTGCCACCACTCACACTGCTGTGCTCAGTACATACTCACCGTCACTGCAGACACAGCTGGTGACATTCAACTACAAACCTTCAGCGTCTGCAACAACAAAAGCATCAAGGAAACTTAATTACTTAATTAAATTTACTTTAATTAAATTTAAATTAAATAAATTTAATTTAAAAAGTCGCAAATGGATTTCACTACTTTTTCGCGTGGCAGGAAGCACACGCTCCATTCTGCTATCCCAGAGATGTGCTCATCGCTTACAGCACAGCCACGTGCTCCCAGTGCGTGCCCACCATCCTCCCGCCCCTGCTCAGCCCCGATATCCCAGCACTACGCTCCATACAGAGCGCGCAGCGCTGCGGGGCTCACCCACAACCAGCGCTGTCCTTATTCCTATCAGCAGATGAGCTCTGCAGACCCCAAACCTGCTCGGCAAGGATGTGTTTCCTGCATGGTTTATCTCCTCTGTCATTGCCCGAGGGCTCAGAGAAGCAGTAGGAATATGCAGGCTGCAGGCACGAGGCCCGGCTTGTTCTCCAACGACGTGGAAGGGGAATATACGTCTCGGGCCCGAAGGCCTACGCTCCCGTGCGCCACACGGACAGAGCCGAGAGAGAGCTACTTCTCCGGGTGTCCTCGTTGGGTTATGGCCCTGTGCCTTCCCCCCTCCGGACAAATAGAATGTAGCGATACTCACAGCGGCAGCGGGTGGGGCTAGGCCGCGAGGCAGCGCGACAGGCCTAGGGAAGAGGAGAAACGCTTGTGAGGGCTGGCGGAGCCTGGAGCGTTGGCTCCAGCAACCCTTATAGCCACCACAGCACACACAGGTAGAAAACAAATCAGAAAATACAAACTACAAATGCAAGACCAGAGCTACCAAGATCAGGCCGCGCCCTGCCCACCCCCCCCCGCCTCACCTGCTCACACCGCCGCTCGCCGCTAAAAGAGAGCGAGCACTGTTCCGCGCCGGTATTTATAGAACCAGTGGGGGCGGAGCCTGATCGCGCAGGCGCAATGAGCAGAACGCAGCGGGCCGTGTGCAAAGCGGCACGGCGGAACGGAACGGGCGGATTGCGCGTGCGCAGTGGGAAGGCGGGAGCGGCAGGCGCGCATGCGCAGTATGAAGGCGGGAACTGCGGGCTCCTCCATGAGGGGCGGTAGCGTTCCTGAGGCAGCCTCAGACACACACGTACACAAAGGTCATCCGTAAACGCAACCGCGGCAGCAGTTTAAAAAAAATAAAAATTAAAAAAAAAAATCCTAAAATACTTTTATTCAATAATTAAAATCTGTTGAGGAGACAGATATACAACGCAAATGATTGTAGGCTACAGCCGTGCTGTACGTGGGGAAGCTGTGAGGGCTCAGCAGGGGCTGAGCCAGGCCAGGCCTTCCCCTCCCCACAGCCCTGCAGTGCTGTGATCCTCCCTTCACGTCAGTGCCATCACGTTTGTGTTGTGCACGATAACTATTTTTAAGGTCACTTCTCAAACCTCCTGCCTGCACAGTGATATCATCAAGTTTCCAGTAGGTTTTGCTGTAAAAATGAGACAAGGCAAGTTCAACCCTGATTTGGGAAAGGAAGCAGCAATAAAAAGCACTGGCTGCGATCACAGCTTCCTCAAATTAAAGAGTTTGTAAAAGGCAACAGTCATTTCCCGGTTCTGTCACTTGTTAAATGAGCACAGTGATCTGAATACGATCCATTAGCATCACAGCAAGTGTGAGAGAGTGGGGAGGGAATGTTTTGTATCTTTGTGTTTTCATTTTGCTTGGGGTTTTTTTTTTTTTTTTTTGTAGATTTTTTGTGTTTTTTACCAAAAAAAAAAAAAAAAAAGACGCAGCATATGTTAATATCTATACAATTCCCTTCCAGGACAACAAACCGTTGGTCAGTAGTGATTCAGAACATGAAAGGTAACGACAGACGTAAGCAAAGCCAAAAAACAACGAGTCTGATGTCAGTTGTCTGCCAGGACAGCGTCTGCACACAGCAAACACACACATGTGTCTCCTACCACATCTCCATTCCTCAGCTCTCCAGCACCAGAGCTGTTTTTTCTCCTCTTGCTAAGGAGGAGGACACAAAGGGGCTGCTCCTAAAAGCAGGATGTGCAGCCGAGAGCTGAGCCTGGCACCGCAGCAAGGCAGCTGGGGAAGGAACCGTTTGCTCATGTGTGCACGGTCTGGCAGGGATGCTGGAGCCAGAAGAGAGGCGTATTGCTGAGCTGCACGAGGTATAGTGTTCAGTTCCAGCCTGATGGCACTCGAGACGTGTTTGTTCCAGTGAAATGCTACATTCAGACAGGATCCCCCTTCCCTGGCTGAAAGCCCTTTTCTGGATTCGTTTGGAAGGCAAATCTTGGAAGGGTCGAGGTTCTGCCCTCGCTGTATTGCCCAGGAGAGGGATGCAGAGAACTTCCAGTCCTCTTGGCTCTCTTGTTCCCCCTTGGAAGGTTAAGGTCGGTGGTACCTAAAAGCCAAGTGAAAAAGTCAAGTGTCATCCTTGGAACTTTGGGTTAAGCAGTTACTGAAGCACTATAGATCACTGATAAGAATAAACTGAATTATCTCTGAACTTTCAGCCCTCGGTGAAGCTGTTAACATCCAAAGTTTTCATCTCTGCCTTAGAAAGCTCTCATGCTCTGCAAACACAGCTCAGCCACGAGGGGCCACGATACACAGGTTACTTCTGTCTAGGGAATATTGTTTTTCCTAGATAAGCAGGCAACATGGAGCCTAGAAGCAGAAACTCAGCACTCCATGAACCTTGAGGTACAGTGCACCCTGCTAGGGCTGATACCATAGGCACCACAAGGGTTTGTGCTCACTCACCGTGTGAACTGCTTGCTCTCCTCGTGGACTTCCATTTCACAGCTCTTAAACTCATTTAGCTCCTTCCGGATGGCAGCCTGCATGAGAAGAGAGAGAGCTGTTACCTCCTGCTAGAGCACACCACCCTCTATCCCCATTTTAAGTGAGCTTTAGGCATGGGAAGAAGGCACTGTGGCCCTGCTCTGGGCTGATACCATCTTCTGGTGGTAAAGTGAAGAGTAACAGCAGATTTTAAACATAAGCCTGAATCCCTCAGCATCTTTAGGTAGAGGAAGAAGCTCAAATTGCAGCAGCCACCCCACCTTTCGCAGTCACTTCACAGCTGTTTAAGCTGCCCCACCTCCTCCGCACCCAGGGCTGGGCAGTCCCCACAGGAGGCCAGGGAAGGTGACAACAGGTATCTTCCCTGCCAGCTTGCCTAAGCCTGCTTCAGCCTGCGAGGAACCGCACTCCTCCAACCAACACCCTGTACCCTGCATCCTCTTACATCATCACTCAGAAGCCACCACAGGGCAGACGTGCAGGCTTGTGTCCCCTTGGAGGGGACAGGAAGCAGGGCTGAGTCCAGCACACAAGGGCGAACTTGCACTGCTGGCAGTGGGTGGGTGCCAGAGGTGGAAGGAACAGAGCAGTTCACCTTGGCTCTCACCCTTTGTTTGGGACATCCGACTCCCCCCCTCCCTGGGGCCAGGGCCCTGTTACCTTGTCAGCAGGTGTCAGCTTTGTCCATGGCTTATCTGCTCTCCGGTCGTAGTCCTGAGCATCTGTTACTTCCACATACTCGTTAAACCTCAGGATCTTCCTGGCCTGCAGCTCTGCCACTGTAGGCCTTTGGCTAAGCTGAACACAAGAATGACAACAGTTTGTGCCTTGTCCCCGGAGCAGCTCAGGACCATCACACAGCAAAGAGCAGTTCCCTCACTGGTCCTGAACCACAGACACTGAGTGACACTGGCACGGATGGGAAGCTTTTCCCCAGCACAGCACTATGTAACCCGGGTGCCACAGCTACAGCAGCTCTGCACAACTTCTCTCCAGCTGTTGTTACTTTGGAAATGGATTTTGAGGAGCCTGATGTGAACACTGCAGCCACTGAATTATGGTTCTACAGGCAGGCCGCTTTCAAGTGCCAGCTGCCAAATTTAGTTCCCATCTAGCCTGTTACACTTGACACCAGCTCCGATCTGTCCGTGCCAAACCTGTTTGCGGTGCCAAGAGCTCTGACAACCCACATTCCAAAGTCGCCGCGGTCAGAGGGCGCTGGGGACAATTACACAACAGCCCCGTGACTTCAGCCACAGCCAGGCACCTCACGGCCACCACCGACCCCCACAGCCCTGCCAGATGGCCATTGTGGCACGGCAGCCTGCAGTACCTTTCTGGTGAGCCTGCGTTTGATCTCTCGCTTCTCAGCCTGACGGTCAGCTTCATTTTTCGCTGCCAAGTGGAAAAAACAAACAAACGTGGGTTTTTTTTTTCCCCCCCCTAAGCATCACAAGCTTTGAGAAGTGCCTTCTGTCCATACCCTTCCTCACCAGCAGCGCACTGAATGCCAGTGGTCTTGTGGGCCTTAACACGGTGTGAATGAGTCATTCTCTCCAGCTTTCTGTGTATTTAAGATTAACGGCCATTCCCTCAAAACCACTTTGCGGACTGCTCCTCCCCCAAGCTATTACAGTAATAGTTGTGAAGAGAAAAGCAGTGCGGATAAATATTTAAAACTTCCTGAACTAACGTTTCCCTTTCCCCAATGTGTTTATTTAAAACTTTTGCAGAACAAGGTATGGCCAAAAGAAACAGCACTCGCTGAACGATGACCTTTTTGGATCGTGCAGTACAATGCTGTAACGTCTGGGCCACAAAGAGAAGGCCAGCCCAAACAAAAACTCTGCTCTGCAACTTCAGAGCAGCCTTAACCAAATCTGCACACCTTTCCCTGAGCTGTCAGGCAGAGGATGGGCCTCTCCATAATGCAGTGCTTTGAACTGTAATGTGTTTTATCCCTGCCTCAGTCTGATTTTCACCAGTCAGTAGAAATCAGCAGAACGGCTCTACTGCAGTGATACAACCACAGCACAGGCCTCTGTCGCTACGTTTCAAGCAGACTCCACACACTTGGACTAAAATGTCAGATGAAAGACAAGGCAGCTTTTATTTTGCTACTCAGAGCCACTAAGAAGCTCTACTCACGCTGAAGTATGTTCCTCTGCTCCAGTTCTTCTGCTGTGGGCCTCTGACTCAGTCGCCTAAAGGAAAGCATGGCAAGAGCATCGTGTGTTATCTGCTCATCAGTGGGGCACAAAGACCAGCAGCCACTGCTGTCCTGCTTGGGGCTCTCCTCCCCACCACTCCATCAGCAGCTCAGCCACAGGCCCAAGCCAGGAAGGCACTACAGAAGCTCGTGGATAACTTGTCAGTGCTGTCAAGCAGACAGGCTGGAATATCAACAGCCTGAGCATCAGCATGCAGCCTGCAGCTGTTCACATCTTTATATGCCAACCGGATTTTATAGCTTCTGTAGTCCTTGAGATTCTCCCCTCCCAACACATCTAACATCTGTAAGCAGCATTGTTAGGAGACACTGCTCAAGTGCTCCGCTCCAGGAGAGACTTCCAGCCTTGGTAACTGAGTGGAAAGCAACACTGAGCCTGCAGCCCTGACCCAGAAGCCCTGCCCAACCGCCTGCCACGCTGCAGCAGAGGCTGCCTGGACAAGCAGCAGGTTTGCCCACGGTTCAGGCACACCAGCCTCCTCCGTTCCTTTACCTGATCAGCGTCGTCCCGATCTGCTGCCGAATTTCATTCCACTCCTCTTTGCTTTTCCGAGGGAAGACAATCTTTTCTTCCTGCACCGTGGTGGCATTCCCCAGCTTTATAGCCAGCGTGTCTTTCCTCTTCACTTTGTTAGCCAGCGTGCCTGTGGGGAGGGATAGGGATGGGACGGGACTGAAGACTGCAGTGCCTGAGAGCAGCAAAATGAGCCACTGGCAGCTGTGCTTCCCCTAGGCCTTGCTCTCCCAGTCACTACAGCTCCCAGCTTGCTGGGTCTGATCACTACAGCAACAGCCAGCATCCCTGTGCGATGCCCCTCCAGCTGACGGGGTGGGACAGCACAGGCTGCCTGCAGC